TCAGCCCTGACGGACATGAGCGGATTATTCGAAGACCTCAGCAATTTCAACGAGGACATCAGCACATGGAATGTGGCCGGTGTGATGGACATGAGCCAAATGTTCAAGGGTGCACGGTCCTTCGATCAGCCAATTGGCAACTGGCAGACATCATCAGTGACTACAATGGCGCACATGTTTGACGGTGCAGCTGCCTTCAATCATGAGATTTTCTCGTGGGATGTTTCTAACGTGCAGACCATGAGCCACATGTTTCATGGAGCTGTTGCATTTAATCAACCACTTGAATCCTGGGACACGTCCCGCGTTTCAGACATGACGGCGCTGTTTTCAAATGCCGAATCCTTCGACCAGCCGCTTGCCAACTGGAACACGTCATCCGTGAGAAGCATGCGCGAGATGTTCCGAGGTGCTTCGGGCTTCAACAGGCCAGTTGGCTCTTGGATTACAGGTGCCGTGATCCGAATGAATGGCATGTTTCAGAACACAGGCATCTTCAATCAACCGCTCAGCACATGGGATATGTCGGCGGTGTCCGATGTGAGCAGCATGTTCCAAAATGCGGCAAGCTTCAACTACCCTGTCGGAGCGTGGGATACAGCTGTTGTGACCAACATGCGCGGCATGTTCTCCGGAGCTGCAGTGTTCGATCAGCCTGTCGGCATGTGGGACACCTCGTCTGTCAAAGACATGTCTTTCATGTTCTCAGAAGCCACCTCCTTTAATCAGCCTATCGAAAACTGGACCACTGCTTCTGTAACGAACATGACCGGCATGTTCTTTGGGGCATCAGTGTTCAACAGCTCCCTTCAAGTGTGGGATACCTCATCTGTGAGGAGCATGGCCCACATGTTTCAGGAGGCATCGGCATTCAATCAGCCCATCGGCACGTGGGATACATCGTCTGTAGCCGACATGAGCTACATGTTTGATGGGGCGGCCGCTTTCAATCAACCTATCGGCACCTGGAATGTTTCAGCAGTCCTTGACACGACTCTCATGTTCTCTGAGGCAGCGTCCTTCAGCCAGCCCCTGGGGTCATGGCTTTTGCCCGTCCCGGCGAGCCACGACATGTTTCGCGGCGCCGATGCCTTCAAGAGGCCGCCTTGCCCGGGGGGCTTTTCGCCGGCTATCAACGGATTAGGCTGCGAGCCTTGTCCTGTGGGGCAGTTCGCTTCTCCTGGAGGCCGGTGTGAGACCTGCCAGCAAGGCTTCGTGCCGACGAGCGATTCAGATGGCTGCCAGAAATGCACGGATGGGAGCATCTCCGTGTCTGGTGTCTGTGAGGAGTGTGTTTTCCCATCCTTCATTGTCAACGATGCTTGCGAATCGTGGCCCCTGCCCGTGGTGTTAGTGGTCGCAGCGCTGGTGCTTCTTGTGTTGTGGCTCTTCATTTCCCGCTTCAAGGCCCGGAAAGAAGCAAGGATCAAGCATGCTTTGGAGCCTTGACCAGCAGCAAGTGATTTCACACTAAATTGCCCCAGCCCCCCTTAAACGCTCTTTGCATCCCAAGTGCAGACAAGTTTCTGATTCTTGTGGCGTTACGCGTAGCCGGGGTAGCATCGCCCAGACCCTGAACCCTAAACCCTAAACCCAGGATGTAGCCTACCGGAACCTCTGGGACGAGCATCCTGAGATCGGGAAACACGCGGCCACCCTCCAGAGCCTTGGGATGAAGCGCATGCAGGTGGGGGTCCCTTTGTTTAGGGTTTAGGGTGTAGGGTTTAGGGTTTAGGGTGCTTTTAAGGGTTTCTAGGTTTAGGCTTTAGGGTTTAGGGCTTAGGTTTAGGGCTTAAAGTTTAGGGGGTAGTCCTCTAAGTTAGGGGTTCCTGAAAGGGATCTTTTAGGGGTTTCGATAAGGGTACTATAAGGGTTCTAAATCGGTAGTTCTTTAAAGGTGTATAGTAAAACATTAGGGTTTCCTTATTGTAGTGGCTTAGTTTAAGTTACCTTAATAGGGATCTATAGCAAAGGAATATAGTAGCTTCATTTAGGTAGTTCTCTAAATCAGGGTCCCTTTTAGGTCCCCAATGTAGTACGGCACCCTTATAAAAGACCTTAATTTAGATTAGACAAGCAGGTGCAGCAGAAGTTGGCTGAGATGCAGGCGCAGCAAAGCTTGCTTGCAGGGGTTGGGCTGAACTATCTTCTCTCAGAGGACTTCGCCAGCGTGGCAAGGGAGCGCACAAAGAAGCAGGACCCCAGCTTCAACGACATGAAGGATGCATTCTGGATGTGCGATGAGCCGCTTGGCCACGACGTCCGGTGCCCTAGAGATGGACGGATGGGCTGTGCTCTGGTTGACTGGATCCCCAGATCTGGACGACAGGAGCAATCCCACTTTATGTCCTGGACATGGCGCTACAGCTTATCCGAGGTGCAAAGTGCCCTACGGATATTTCAAAGGAGTGTCGAGGAAAGCAAGGTATTCTTCTACATGTGCTTCTTCGTCAATAATCAGTTCAGGATCATATTGGAGTCTACCGGGATAGGTGCCGAGGATTTGGAAGCTGTCTTTGAGAGCAACCTGAAGCGCATTGGCAGGGTGGTGGCCATCCTTGACACATGGGACAACCCCATGTATTTAACGAGGATTTGGACTGTCTACGAACAGTTTATGGCCACCAAGTTGGAAGTGCCCGTAACTTTCGTCATGCCCGACACAGCCATGCATTCCGCTCAAGAGCAGATGTTGCAAGGTGAAGTGGGCATGAGGCGCATCACCGAGGCCCTCTGCAATGCAGATTCTGAGAATGCAGAAGCGTGGATGAAAGAGGATGAAATTAAAGTCAAAGGACTGGCTGGCAAAGGGCGTAGACGTTATGTTTTGCGTTCACTTGTCTTGTGTCTTGCTAGGGATGCCTTCACATGACCCGAGTGTGGGATACTGCTAGCTGCTAGAGAGGACTCATTCGCAACAGCGTCGGCTTCGATCACGTCAACATGCATGTGACGCAAGTGATGGTCCAATGGATCTTGAGGATAATGCAGAACCAGTTCGAGGACCAAATCGGCCGAGTTCGGTCCCGATTGTTCACGCAAAAGAGCCAGAAAACGATGGCTTCCCCTACATCGATAATTGAACTTTGATCAGCTTTGACCTGCTCAGTAGAAGAAGTAATAGTAGCAGAGTGGTATAGAGGAGTGGTAGTAGTGGTAATGGAAGTGATAGCAACCCAAATCAATGTAGTTATTGCCAATAGTAGGCTACTACTATTACTACGAACGACTACTGCTACTTCTACTGCTGCTACTACTACTACTACCACCACCACCACCACCGCTACTAGGACGACTAGTGGTTCTACTGCTACTGCGACATCGAGCGCTGTGGGGGGGGGAGCCCTGCTGGGCCCAGGCGTGCCTCTACAGCGAGCTTGTTTTCCTTGAGGTTGGTTTCCTCGGATCTGGAGCGTGCGGGGCTCGAATTGGATTCGTATGCTCACGTAGAAGAAACGACAACTGCTGCTTCTACTACTATTAATGCTACTTCCGAGATTTCCAACTCTACCATCATACTAGTACTATTTGTGTTACTGTAATTGCTACTTGCTGCTACCACCACGACTATTCGTAGTACTGTCATTATTACTACTACTCCTGCTGCTGCTGCTGCTGCTGCTGCTGCTGCTGCTGCTGCTACTGCTACTACTGCCACCACTATTACAACCACTACCGCGACTGACCATAACTATTTTACAGCGTCGCGATTATGACGACGG